CCTGCTCGGTGGGTGGAGGCCGGAGCGGGGCCAGCTTGGCGTTGGTGCCGATTCTCCTTGGAATTTGCCCTTTGAGTTTGGGTCCTGGCTTATTTGGAAGCCTGTGGGGCTGGGATTTAAAAGTTTTTTGGGTTTTTTTACTTGAACGTAGGTGTCGTGAAAACCACCGCTAACTCAAACCCAAGATGGGAAAGGAAAAGACTCACATCAACATCGTCGTCATCGGACACGTAGATTCCGGCAAGTCCACCACTACCGGCCATCTGATCTACAAATGTGGGGGCATCGACAAGAGAACCATCGAGAAATTCGAGAAGGAGGCTGCTGAGGTGGGTACATTAACTTGGGTCATTACAACAAGTGCCTGCAAGTATAGTAAGTGGTACTTTTCCAAAAAAATACAGTCCACCATCCACATCCGCATGGCACACGAGTTTAGGGATGGGCCAACATGCATGGAATCGCTTTGCTCTATCCATGTTCCGAGAATACGGTAAAGCGACCTGGGGTTAGCAGTTGTAAGCTGGAACCGAGCATTTATGCCAACTAACAGAGTCGGGAATTTCAAGTTGGGATTTGAGCGTCTTCGTTCCTGAGTAACCGTTCTTAATCCTCACAGATGGGGAAGGGCTCCTTCAAGTACGCCTGGGTCTTGGATAAACTGAAGGCCGAGCGGGAGCGCGGTATCACCATTGACATCTCCCTGTGGAAATTCGAGACCAGCAAGTATTATGTGACCATCATTGATGCCCCAGGGCACAGAGACTTCATCAAAAACATGATTACAGGCACATCTCAGGTTTGTACAGTTAACAATTTTTTAGAGAGTTAACTCTCTGGGTCTGTTTGGGCTCATCCCTTTTGAAGAGCTTCCATTTACTAATAGGATATGACCTTGTTTTCTTTTAAAGGCTGACTGTGCTGTCCTGATCGTTGCTGCTGGTGTTGGTGAATTTGAAGCTGGTATCTCCAAGAATGGACAGACCCGTGAGCACGCCCTTCTGGCCTACACACTGGGTGTGAAACAGCTGATTGTTGGTGTTAACAAAATGGATTCCACTGAGCCACCCTACAGCCAGAAAAGATACGAGGAAATTGTTAAAGAAGTCAGCACCTACATTAAGAAAATTGGCTACAACCCTGACACAGTAGCATTTGTGCCAATTTCTGGTTGGAATGGTGACAACATGCTGGAGCCAAGTGCTAATGTGAGTTTTAAGACAGTTGAAAACACTGGAAAGAAGCGGGCCAGGTATGGGGGCAGGTAACAGTAATTGATGATCTTGTGTTCTTCAGATGCCTTGGTTCAAGGGATGGAAGGTCACCCGTAAAGATGGCAATGCCAGTGGAACCACATTGCTTGAAGCTCTGGATTGCATCCTGCCACCAACTCGTCCAACTGACAAGCCCCTGCGTCTGCCCCTCCAGGATGTCTACAAAATTGGTGGTAAGTTGAACATAAATATCAGAAAGTGACATGTATGGGAGACTACAATTTCTTCACAAGCATTTATGACTATGCCCTAAACATTTTAGGTATTGGTACTGTCCCTGTGGGCCGAGTGGAGACTGGTGTTCTCAAGCCCGGCATGGTGGTCACCTTTGCTCCAGTCAATGTTACAACTGAAGTAAAGTCTGTTGAAATGCACCATGAAGCTTTGAGTGAAGCTCTTCCTGGGGACAATGTCGGCTTCAACGTCAAAAACGTGTCTGTCAAAGATGTTCGCCGTGGCAATGTGGCTGGTGACAGCAAAAATGATCCACCAATGGAAGCAGCTGGCTTCACAGCTCAGGTAACACTAAATGTCATGTTCTTCCTCCCAGAGCCTTAAATGTCTTTTGAGACTCAGGAAATAAATTCAAATCCTTTTTCCCAGGTGATTATCCTGAACCACCCAGGCCAGATCAGTGCTGGATATGCACCTGTGCTGGATTGTCACACAGCTCACATTGCTTGCAAATTTGCTGAGCTGAAGAATTTGCTGAGCTGAAGAAGATTGATCGTCATTCTGGAAAAAAGCTGGAAGATGGCCCCAAGTTTTTGAAATCTGGTGATGCTGCCATCGTTGATATGATTCCTGGCAAGCCCATGTGTGTTGAGAGCTTCTCTGACTACCCTCCTCTGGGTAAGATTGAGCATTTACAGTAATGATACATTTTACTTGATGAAAACTATTTGTTTTGTGTACTGTGTCTAATGATAATATGAAATTTGTTTTAATAGGCCGTTTTGCTGTTCGTGACATGAGACAGACAGTTGCTGTGGGTGTCATCAAAGCAGTGGACAAGAAGGCAGCTGGAGCTGGCAAAGTCACCAAGTCTGCCCAGAAAGCTCAGAAGGCTAAATGAATATTATTTCCAACACCTGCCACCCCAGTCTTAATCAGTGGTGGAAGAACCGTCTCAGAACTATTTGTGTCTCAATTGGCCATTTAAGTTTAATAGTAAAAGACTGGTTAATGATTACAATGCATCGTAAAACCTTCAGAAGGAAAGGAGAATGTTTTGTGGACCATTTGGTTCTTTTGTGTGTGTGGCAGTTTTTAAGTTATTAGTTTTTAAAATCAGTACTTTTTAATGGAAACAACATGACCAAAAATCTGTCACAGAATTTTGAGACCCATTAAAATAACAAAGTTTAATGAGAAACCTGTGTGTTCTTTTGGTCAACACTGTAACTTTCTGTTATACTACTTAGGTAAAAGACTTCAGAGTTGCCCATGACCTATTTCCAGTGTTATATCTGCTGATATTTACAATTGGATGGTTCTGTTAACATTTTTTTCTGGGTGGGAACTTCGGGGTTTTTTGTGGGATTTTTTTCCCCACTGAATTGCCTGTCTCTTCATGGTAAAAGCTATGGGAAAGGGGGACTGTTGGTATAACACTAAATAGGTTAGGACAGGTAAGCAAAGAGTAACTTTTTGTTTGTAAGCTAGTTTCGAAAGGCCAAATTCTGTAAAGGCCACATGTTAACATAAAATTTTGTAGTTACATCAATATTGAGTAAATTTGTTGGTATGTCAAATTTTAGTTTTCCAGTTTTACTGGAATGTGAATTCACATTTACAAATGCTGAGGTAGTTTAAGAACCTAAAGTGAGGTTTGAATAGTATTGAGCACTGTCTTGCTGCAGTTATTGTATCCAAATTCTAGGAAAAATAAATTGATGGTAGAATTTGAGTGTGTTTTGTCACTTAAATGCTTCAAAGTCCACTTCCAATAGGAATTTTCATCTAAAGTTGGAGAAATACTGCCACATTGGAGATTAGACAGTTTGAGGTATGGTGGCAGATTGCTCTGATTTGAAATTTTGCTCAGTGCCACTTTAAAAGATAACCTTACTGAAAATTAGGTTCTAAAATGTGACAGTTGGGTAGGATGTAAGAAAGCACTTTTAAACTAGCTGGGGTAATTTGCATGCAGTGATGGTTTATAGTTGATGTTTGCTTGAGTGGTAGCCATCTAGTTTTTGATAGTTGGTAAATCAAAGCACAGAAAAGGAATTCCACAAATCTGAAAATTTTAATTCTATGTAATAGTATCCAGCTCAAAGTGGCAAAATCAGACAGCTTGTATATTAATTGTATCCTGTTAGGTAATGACTTTCAAATAGATAGCAATTTGTGAAGTTTTGGGGGTTTTTTTTTTGCCTTCGTCGAAATTATGTATGTCCCCCTTTTCCCCCATTGATCTCCACCCAAGACTGAAGCTTTGCCCCAGGTGGTTTGTCTTGGTGAATATAGTGTTGGCCTACAAAGGTTTCGGGTTTGGTTCTGGTCAAGGGCACATGCCAGGTTTACTGGCTTAATCCCCAGTAGGGGGCGGGCAGGAGGCAATTTAATGATTATCATTGATGTTTCTCTCTGAAATAAAAATATTTCTTGAATTAGGTAGGCCTTGACAGTACTAGCTGAGACATTTGAGGGGTGTGAAAAGGCTAAAATTTCTCTAGTTCATGAGGGAAGTAGCCCCCTTAAGTTTTTTGTAATTTGCTTATTTGTACAGGTGAGAAAAAATTGGCCAGCTTAAGCGGTAGCTGATATAAAAACAAATTTGTCACAGCTGTAGGATTTACTAGAATAAGATTGTTCCAGCCCCCCCCCGCAATGTTTAACTGCAGAGAGCACCACTATTTGAAAGGGTAGGAAGGAGGGTGACCAGAGTCAAGGAAAAGTTTAGTTACTAGCTTCCTCTCCACAGAACCGGGTATCTGTAGGCTTGCCAAGACAATTGCCTGGTTTTGAGCACCACCTACTGGTCACTACAAACTAGTTTTACATTCATGAACAAAGTTAAATTTTTGTTCTGAGGTTCTACACTAATGGCATTTCGTTGTGTTGTCATCAATGTAAAGATCTCAAGATCCTGTTGAAATTCCCGGGAATTCTGGTGTTTTTAGGATATGGAAAAGGGCATTCAGGTGTTAAACATAGATTGCCTTTAAGGCATATCTTTTTAACATCTTAAGCCCAAAACAGTCAATGCAGTATAACCAGATTTTTTTATCATTTCAGAACACAATTTATGCCCTCCCCTTCCCTAATTTACCTCCCAAGTTTCAGGTGCATCAAGAACTCAGCTTTCTGGATCAAGGACCCAGTCTGGTGATGACAATTCTGATCTAACATGTAACCCAGTCTCTGCTCTTTTTTAGTCTCTGATTTTGTCATGAAGAATGCATATGGTTTTAGTGACAGCATTTATATCTTCCTGTGGTGATTCTAGAAGACTTAATTCAACCAGAGGTTTTGATTTGTAGATATCCCTGGCCCTGATCAGATTACTTGCAGCTAACTAAAAGTTCCCCCATGGCACTATTAGACAACTAAAATCACCTTAGTTTTTAAAAAATATTTGGTATTTTTAAAATGTTTTTAGTTCCCACCCAAGGATATTTTTCTATTGATTTTTAGAGAGAGTGGGAGGGAGGCGGGGAGAGAACATTGATTGGCTGCATCCTGCACATCCCCTACTGGGGGTTGAGCCTGCAACCCTGGCATGTGCCCTTGACCGGAATTGAACCTGAGACCCTTCAATCTGCAGGCCTATGCTCTATCCACTGAGCCAAACTGACTAGGGCCAGAAGCAGTTTTTTCAAGAACACACGTGCTCATTTGGTTGAGTTTTGGTTCTGCCCAATTGACTGTACAAATCAGTGAAGAAATACTGGTTTTCAGTAATTTTCAGTATGGGATGTAAAAATCCTGAAGAATATTACCAGGACTATGGTTTTAATTTATATTAAAATTTATTTATCTTGGTATCATTTCCTGTTGAGTTGAGAACTGAGCTAATGCCAAAAGAATTTTTTCATGGTTGTAGTATTCACAATTCCTGAAATGGCAACTCGAGATCAAGGGTGTCAATTTCATGTGTGTCAACATGGCCTTACATGTTTTAGACTGATAGTCAAATGCTAGTTCACATGTCATGAAAAGCTGTGGAAATCCAGTCAGTTCAGAAAGTTGCATTCTCGAATGAGTTCTAGATTCTGATGATGGAGTGTGTGCTGTTTCAGGTGAGAGAAGAGGGGGAATAATACATTTCCTCTTTTTCTTGCTTACCTTCCTAAAGTTTTCTTCTCTGATCTGGTTTTGCTTTTTCATAACTGCTATTTTTTTTTCCCCCACTTACAAACCCATAGGTTCTTCCAAGTAGCATCAAAGTTACTGACTGGCCTCCATTTGCATATTTCTGGAAACTCATGACTAGTTAAAACCAGAATTGAAGCATAACTATTAACTAGAGGCCCGGTGCCCTCTCGCAGTCTGACTGACATCCCTGTGGGAGGGCACTGACCCTGCCCCCCATCTGCCGGTGGCCTCCCTCTGTGGGAGGTGACTGGAGGGCAGCGAGCAGCCGGCCCCACCCCCTGATCACCCCTCTGCCACTGCTGCTGGTTGCCCCCCCCCATCACTGTCCCCTCCCTCTGTCTACTGGCACCCGCCTTGGCTGGCCTGGCGCCACCCACTCGCCAGCCCCTCCACCCCACCGCCATTCAGTCGATTTGCATATGAGGCTTTTATATAGGAGGATACATTACTTGCTCATCCAGTGATTTAAAAGAGAAAATGTATTAACTTTGTTAGGTAACTGCCACATGGCTCTTGAAGGTTGACTCAATCCAATAGAAATCTCTCAGAGGGACCATATCATTTTGCTGTTTTCTAAAGAAAGGGTTATGCTGTAGTCCAGTAGTCGCCAATAGAAATGAGTGAAGTAAATAGAAGGAATATTGTCATTTATCTTTAACTACTTTTACTAGGCTCCTGGATCTCTTAAGTGTTTATAGCTCAGTTTGGTCTCTGTGGGACAGATATGACAACAAAAATAATGTTGAATTGATGTTACAATAATTATATCCTAAGCAAGCAAAGGATATTAAAAAACCTAAGCAAGAGATTTCATTTATATATATATTGTTTTTTAATATATTTTATTGGCTTTTTTACAGAGAGGAAGGGAGAGGGATAGAAAGTTAGAAACATCAATCGCTGCCTCCTGCACACCCACTATTGGGGATGTGCCCGCAACCAAGGTACATGCCCTTGAACGGAATTGAACCTGGGACCCTTCAGTCTGCAGGCCGATGCTCTATCCACACTGATCCAAACCGGTTAGGGCTCATTTATATATTTTTAAAATAAATATTTTTTTATTGATTTCAGAGAGGAAGGGAGAGCGAGAGAGAAACGTCAATGATGATAATCATTGATTGGCTGCCTCCTGCTCACCCTACACTGGGGATCCAGCCTACAACCTGGGCATATGGCCTGACTGGGAATCTTAACCATGACCTCCTGGTCCATAGGTCACAATGCTCAACCACTGAGCCATGCTGGCTGGGCCTTCCCCACTTTTTTATTAATTTTAGTGTATGTAAATACATTAAAATTTACCCTTTTAAAGTATACAGTTCTGCAAGTTTTGACATGTATACAGCTCATTGCAATAAAGTTTCCATCCACCCTTCCCCCTGAAACTTTCCCTGTATCTCTTTGTAGTCAACAGCTATCCTCTCTCCCAATGTTTGGTAACCACTGATCTATTTTCTGTTCTTATAATTTTGGTTTTGCACCAATATCATATACCTGTATTCATACAGTATATAGCCTTTTGAGTCTGGTTTCTTTGATTTACCATAAAGCAGTTGAGATATCCATTTTGCATATGTCATTAATCAGTGTTGTTTTTTAATAGATGTAAAACAGTTTATTCATTCCCAGCAACTAAGGGACATTTGGTTGTTTCTAGTTGTGGACAATTAAAATAAGTCCAGTGTAAATGCTCACATATAGGTTTGTGTTTAACTACAGGTTTTCATTTTACTTGTGTTAAATACCACTGGGATTGCTAGGTTGAATGGCAGGTGTAAGAAACTGAAACTTTTCTCAAGTGGCTGAGCCAATAATAATAGATTAATTTTTAAGTGACATTTTTAATTTTGCTATGATTAAATTTTTAGGGAAGAAAAATAATTTGACGAAAGGAGTGCTACACTGAGATTCTGTAGGACAGTGAAGAGCTGTGACAATGTTATGAAGGAAAAGAGAAGGAGATGCTATGAGAGAGAAGAGAAAAGGAAAATAATTTGGATTGGCTAGAGAAGGTACTTGTCAGGAATAGCTGAAACCTGAAGGATATGTAGAGTTATTGAATTAGATAATATGAAAACATTATATTACTTTTCTTAGACATCTCAATATATGAGGCTTCACTTGGCCTCATAATTATATAGAATCAGAATCTAAGAATCTAAAAGCCTTTTAACCTAACGCCCTCAAATAAACTTAGAATATGTTCATTGAAATCTGCTTGCTTACCTCAACGATGTGTGTGTCATATTGGGGAGCAGAGACATCTCATTGAATCCTCATGGCAACCTTCATAGGGGGCATGACAGGTATGAAGAGAGGCTCCTATGTCATTCCATTGCTGGAAGATTTTTTCCCTCCATATTAATTTAAATTTGCCTGCTGGTAACCTACAATCTTTATACCTAGTCTATTCTTTAGGATAAATGAACAATTTAATTCTATTTTCTACCAGAGCCCAATTTACTTGAAGACACCAATCAACACCCCATAGTCACTTTCAGATCTTACAGCAGTTTTACCTTGGGTCACATGGTTTCTAGATTCTTCCCATTCTGTTCTTCCCAGTTTATAGCTTTTTAAAAAAATATAGAGAGGAAGGGAGAGGGAGAGAGAGATAGAAACATCAATGATGAGAGAGAATCATTAACTGGCTGCCTCCTGCACACCCCCTACTGGGGATCGAGCCTGCAACCCAGGCATGTGCCCTTGACTGGAATCGAACCCAGGACACTTCAGTCCACAGGCCAATGTTCTGCCAAACCGGCCAGGGCCTAGTTTATAGCCTTTAAAGTGTTTCCATTCACCAAAATTGAATATATTATAGTTTTGGGTGCATAAAAGACTGGTCTCTTAATTGAGGGTATGCTTTCACTAGTGTGACTCAAGAGAAAAGTCACCATGTTTGGACTCTAGTTTCCCAAATTGATCCATTTCAACCAGCTGATCAGGGTGATGTATAAGTGGGGGAAAAGCTGTCTCTTTTATTTAACTAATGGGCATAATACTGTCTATCTCTTAAAATGGTTGTAGGAATGAAATGAGCTAGTACATATAGACTCTGTAGCCCAGTACCTGGCCTATTGAAAATGGCCAATAAAAGGTAATTTTTATTATTACAGTTGTTTGGAAGATCACAATTTACTTTAAACAACTCCATTGTACTTCTGTATTGTAGTAAACAAACATTACCTGATCTTTTTAGTGCAAATTATATTTTAGAAAGACATCCTTTAAACTATATTTGCGTGGTTAATTTGTCTTTTTTTTTTTTTTTTTTTTTTTTACAAACCTTTTATTTTGGAGTAACTTTAAATTTATAGAAAAGTGCCCTAACTGGTTTGGCTCAGTGGATAGAGCATTGGCAGAAAAGTTGCAAAGATAGGATAAGAGTTTCCATATACCCCCTCACCTAGTTTGTTTCCCCTAATGTCACCATCTTGCATTTCCAAAGTACATTTGTATGTACTGTTCATGTACTGCTAATCAACATTGGTACGTTACTGTTAATCTCCAGACGATTCAGATTTTGCCACCTATCCCACTATTGATTCAATCTAAGACACCAATGTATGGTTAAATTGAAGAACTCTAATGTTGGAAGTTTACATATATCTCTGCTATATTACATCATCTTGTTGAGATAATTTTGAATCTCGAGCCTACTATCTAGAATGTTAAAATGTGGACTTTGTCATTTACACATCTGATACTTATAATTATGTTTCTTTAGTTTTATTTAAATTATTGGTTACTACTAAACAAACTAGGTCCAAAAACAGAGACCTAGGTATTACACTAGAGAATGTTCTTTGATTATGGTCCAGCTAATTGCAAATTCACCTAATAATCTTGCATTACCAGAAATATTATTTAGGTCATATCTAGATTATTATTATTACCAAGACCACAATCTAGGTCACTTTCCACCATTTTAATCAAGGTATCCATGAGGAAAATTTTATCAAATGTTTGGTAAAAGCAAGATGAAGCAGGTGATAGCTTTAAATTTACTCTCTCTCATAACTATATAGAATTTAAAAAATGTAAGAAAGTCTAAAAGTCTTTTAACCTAACCCCCTCAAGTCAACTTAGAATATATTCATTGAAATCTAAGGTCAAGGTGGGAGTAAAATCTCTGTACTAGGAATTTAAATTTTCTATGTTAAGCAATCATGGTTTCCCTAAAAGAGTTTAGGTGGTTTGGGCTTTCTGTCAAACTTTACACTTAGACTAGATCAAATC